CCCGGTGTGTCGAAGGGAACTCACGCAGCGTCAAATAAAACTAAACCCTCTCTTCTTCCTCCGTAACCAATCTAAAAACGGGGGAACAACGGAGCTGATCCAGATTTGCGTCCGATATGACGTAATATCTGAAATGTGGACCCACGGCCCAATCAGAAACGTTGCTATCAGAAACAATGCCCGACTGTTTTGGACGTAATATGGTCGGTGTTTACATTAGCATCGCTAACACTCAGAGCTAACCTGTACTGGAGAGCATGTGTGTGAAGAAGCAGGAAATAAAAAGGAACTCGCCTTGTGGTATAACCGGCAAGAGAGAAAGCCTTTGAGCTCCATACTGTTTCAGAGATAATCCTTGATAATCCATGATATGGCGTTTCATCACCGCAGTATTTAGTTTAGACAGTAGCTGCCGGGTCCCGCATGAGCTCAGCCCCCTCCTTTTTTATTTGTTATCAATTTTTAAAGCTTTATATAAATCAGCACTTTTGAAACAGGAAGTGAAATAGAGGGATATGAGGCATGGCTAGAATGGGTGATCTGTTTGGTATTTTGAGCAAAACACTTCATAGACATGTTTTTTATATATTTTTATATATCTGAGACCTATGCTATTGCCTAACAATAGCATGATAGGTGACCTTTAAGCTGTTCTAGGTCACTAGAGAGGCCTGCATCTAATAGCTGTCTAACTATGTGTGTTTCCCTCACTGATCAACACTGCCATCCCTACACTAAACTCTATAATATTTCTGTGTGTTTCAGAGATATTAGAGAAGCTGCGTAACCCCCCTCCTCTGTTTCGCCCGGTGGTCAGTCCAGATTACGCTCCGTTAGAGTGCATCCAGCTGATGAAGCAGTGCTGGAAGGAACAGCCAATCAATAGACTGGGATTCGACGAGATCTTCGACCAGGTTTTAACTACATTTTGCATCAAAAAACTCAGAGTAAATGCTGTAAAACACTTTAATAGCCGGTATCAAACTGATACGGATCACATTTCTTTTAAACATAGCTGATCTGTTGGTGCTGGCGACAATATTTTGTGAATTAAATCTTCATTTAAAGCCCTCCTTTGGTGTATTAAACCGACCAAATGCTGCCCCTGTGCTCAAAATTAAGATTTAAGGGTATTCTTCATATGGTTTTCATATCCTAAAATAACCAAATAACATCTTAGATTGAAAATGTTGAGGTTTTTCCTCGGTAAACTCTATTTTAAGATCAATATGTTTGAGGGAATTAATAGAGTTTAAGTTTTCTTGATGCTGTTTTAAATGGTTTTCAAATTCTAAATAATACAATAATCAACCAATGAGCATCTTAGATTCAAAATGGTGAGTTTTTTCTTTGGTAAAAAATCATTTTGAGAGTCAATTCTGTTCAGGGATTAATACATTCTGATGATTTGAGTAAGGAAATACCATTAGGCTCTTAAACTGGATTAAGGTGTTGAACTTTAATTGTTATTAAACCGACCAAATGCTGTCCCTTTAACTTGATGTACTGCTCAAAATGTATGAATGGCCTTCGTCATGGAGATTTAAGGTATTCTTCATTGTTTTCAAAACATAAGCAAACAGCATTTTAGATTGAACATGTTGAATGAAAATGAGTTTTTTCCTCAGTAAACTCTATTTTAAGATCAATATTTCTTCAGGAATGAATGAATTCTGATTATTTGAGTGAGGAAATCCCATTAGGCTCTTAAACTGGATTGATGTGTTGAACTTCAACTTGTTATATATTGTCTTTTTCCTCAGTTCAAGAACATCAACAAGGGGAAGAAGACGAACATCATCGACTCGATGCTGCGGATGTTGGAGCAGTACTCCTCGAACCTGGAGGAGCTGATCCGAGAGAGGACGGAGGAACTGGAGATCGAGAAGCAGAAGACGGAGAAGCTGCTCACCCAGATGCTTCCTCCGTGAGTCCACGAGAAGAAGCGTCTTCTTGCAGTTATTCTGGCAGTCGTATTTTTATTTATACGTAACGAACGTAAAAAGAAATGCTGCTATTGAAACAGTTAAATACATAATTTCAGTTACAGAAAACACACTTTGACTGTGTCTCTCTGCTGCAGGTCTGTGGCCGAGGTTTTGAAGGTCGGAGGCACAGTGGAGCCGGAGCACTTTGACAAAGTGACGCTTTACTTCAGCGACATCGTGGGCTTCACCACCATCTCCGCCAACAGCGAGCCCATCGAGGTGGTGGACCTGCTCAACGACCTCTACACACTGTTTGACGCCATCATAGGAAACCACGACGTCTACAAGGTGGTTCAATCTCTTTAAATGAATACAGGAAATCAGTCAAGGCAATAACACAAATACAGTGGGGCAAAAAAGTATTTAGTCAGCCACCAATTGTGCAAGTTCTCCCACTTAAAAAGATGAGAGAGGCCTGTAATTTTCATCCTAGGTACACCTCAACTATGAGAGACAAAATGAGAAAAAAAAATCCAGAAAATCACATTGTCTGATTTTTAAAGAATTTATTTGCAAATGATGGTGTAAAATAAGTATTTGGTCAATAACAAACAAACAAGATTTCTGGCTCTCACAGACCTGTCACTTCTTCTTTAAGAGCTTCCTCTGTCCTCCACTTGTTAACTGTATTAATGGCATACAGGCCTCTCTCATCTTTTTAAGTGGGAGAACTTGCACAATTGGTGGCTGACTAAATACTTTTTTTGCCCCACTGTATGCTCCCAGAAATATTCAACACCATTAACTTTCAAAGTAATTATTGGGGTATTTAAGCCTTAATTTGGTTAGTACAAATATAAAGATGATGGTAAATGAAACAAAATGTAAACTACAGACTGGTTTGTAAAGTTTTCCCTTCACCAAAAATACACTTTCATTAAGGAGAAGGAAAGGAAACAACAGATGTGAGGAAACTAGAGAAAAAGGAGATGTCAATCAACATAAAACACAAGTGCATGCTGGACAGTTAACAATAGAGGGATGACTTAATATACACCGAATATAAAGCAGTGACTGTAGTTTCCTTTAAGGAGAAGGAAAGGAAACAACAGAGGACAGGAAACGAGAAATCGATCTAAAAGAACTCACTCAGGTTCCACCTTTCTATAATCATGAAACATGAACAATCTCTTCTAGGTGGAGACTATCGGCGATGCGTACATGGTGGCGTCGGGACTTCCTGTTTGTAACGACGACCGCCACGCAGCAGAGATCGCCAACATGGCGCTGGACATCCTGAGTGCCGTGGGAACTTTCAAAATGAGACACATGCCCGACGTTCCTGTCAGGATCCGGATAGGACTGCACACAGGTGAGGGAAATGCAAAAATGACCGGGTCAAATATATATATATATGTTTAATTGAATTAATTTGGATTTAATTAAGAATGTCATATTTAGATGTATCTGCTGGGTGTGTGTTACAGGTCCCTGTGTAGCAGGGGTTGTGGGTCTCACTATGCCTCGCTACTGTCTGTTTGGAGACACCGTCACCACTGCGTCTCGTATGGAGTCCACCGGGCTGCGTAAGCACAAAATAAAACAGTTTATTACGAGTTAAAATAAAGCAGCTATTTCGTAATCATGTCACTTATTTGTCAGCCTACAGGATCCACATCCACCAGAGCACAGCCAAGGTGCTGCGGGATTTAAATGTCGGCTACAAGATCGAATTAAGAGGAAAGAGTGAAATAAAGGTATAGACCAGCGGTTCCCAACCTGTGGGCCACGGCCCCCTAGTGGTCTGCAAAGGCATTGCAAGTGGGCCACCAAATAATTTGCAAAACATTATGATTTGCGTGGAAACATTTCATTATTACGATTTGTTTTTATTTGAACCTCCTTTCCTTTTTCTTTCTTGATCCTCCTTAGCAACGGTCATTACAGTCCTTGACAGCGGTCTGTACTACTGGATTAACAACGTGTCACATGTTCTGAACTGACCAATCAGAATCGAGTATTTAACTAAACCGTGTAATAAAAATGTCTGTTTGTTACTGATGGCCAGCTCCTTTTCTAATTGAAATAAGAAGTACCCTGAGAACTTTATTTACCCTCCGTATTGTTTATGGTTGAACGTGTGCCGCGAAAAAAATTTAGATTCTTAACTGGGCCCTGAGTTCAAAAAGGTCGGAAACCGCTGGAATAGACATTACATTTGGACAGATATTTCTGCATGTGGTTGAATATAGTCTGTTATTTTTTTTGCATTTTAAGAAAACATTCACAAAGCATACATAACAAAAATAAAAACATCTAGGTACATAGATTAACTACATAACAGATGACAAATACGAAAATATGTAAATAGTAATAATAATAGGCTATTACAAATAAAAGAATGGATACATTATTAATATTCAGGTATACATTCATTATATTGTTCTATACTTGACCCTTTTTTCCCACCTTTCCTCAAAGATATGCATTTCTAATTCTCTAAGTTGTTTTCTCCATTAGATAGATTTCATTATAAGTTACTCCATTGTGAGTTCACTAAGTTATTAGCTTTTAGCCGATTCCATTTGTTTGCTATTCTAATTAGCAGAAATAGATAGGAATCTTGTTTTTGTATTTCCTCTGGTGTTTTCCCCATTGTTGAGAGAAACGCCAAAGATATTGGACATTTCTCTTAAAACAATATAGTCTGTTGAAGCCTCTATGTGTCTCTTTTTGTCAGGGTAAAGGAGTCGAGGAGACGTACTGGCTCGTAGGGAAAGAAGGATTCAACAAACCTCTTCCTGTTCCTCCAGAGGTCAAAAGCAGGTAGGAAGAAAGTCAATTTCTCTTAAATGCTCTTAATATGTTTCACTCTTTCCTACCATAACACATTAACTATGTTACTGTCCTACAAGATAGCAAATCATCCCCCAGAAATTCCCCTTGCAATCTCATCTGAGACGTTTGAGCATATATAATCAAAATAACTACACAAATTAAATAACAATATCACAAAATAAACATGAATATAAAAAGACGCAGGAAACATACATTAATAAATAAAAAGACATATAAGCTATAGAATGAAAATACTAAATTGCACAAATCTTTTCAACACACAAACCGAACAGAATGCACGTTAAATAACTTATTTACAGACTTAGGCATCTCTATAGTTAAAGTTAAACTCCCAAACTGCCCTCTAAAGCAGGGGTGTAAAACTCAATTTCTTCGCGGGCCACATTAGCATTAGGGCTGCACTCAAAGGGCCGGTTGTAACTTTAAGACTATATAAAAATACATATATAAATATAATGTATTATATTACATTATTGCCTCTG